CACGGCCCCCCTGCTCACAAAATAACTGTCCACAGTCCTCTGTTTCTGGCACCCTTTAACATTTCCCTAAAAAGGGTAAGGTTTTGTCACTGAACTTGTTGCAAAGTGGCTTGTTTCAGCTTGCTCAGGGTGGTCTTCTGCACAAACTTTGGGGACATCATTCCCTTGGCACAAATTCCTTAATCTTTAAGAAGGCACCTCATCCACTCCCTATATTAACACTTTTGCAACACACTTTTCCTTGATTTTTTTCTTTTCTTTGACGGATAGAACCGATGGTCACTTGTTTTTTTTCCCTCATCCAGGCAAGCTCAAAAAGTCTCCACCACTCTCATATTCGTATTATTTCCTTTTTCACATCTTGGGTTTCCACTTTTTTTTACCAAAGGGACCACACAATTTCTTGGGGGCCCGGGGAGTTATTTCACAGTCCCACGAGCACTAAAACAACAAATAATCGTAAAATTTAATGAAGCGCAGGTTTTCACTCAAACACAAAAAAAGAGACTGCCACGGGGGCCTGCCGAGGGGGGGACCGGGGGGGGCAAAAAGGCCCGTACCCCCCGGGCCAAAATTAGGGGCGCGTTCGTAAAAAGGGGGAAAAGTTTTTCCGAAAAAAAAAGGCCTATTTTTTTTAAAAAGTTCAATATATGATACATTCATTTTTGAGGTTCCACTGTACAAGAAAACAGCCCCATTACCAATTTTAACTACCCAATAAAGTGGTCAGAAATTGGCAAATTTGGCCAATTTATGCAAATTTTAAAAAAAATGGCCCAATTTCAAAATAGGGTCCAAATAAAAAATGTAACCCTTTTTGGGACTAAAAAAACATTTTCTCTGTTCATTATCACCTCTGGCCCCTCTTATATTACTATTCTTTCTATTTTTATTTTTATTCAAACACAAAATACAAAAAATTTACTGTTATGCAGACTACTAATTATTATAAAAAATGGAAAAAAAATATCAGTGCACTAGGGGAAAGAATTTAGACCCCCAGTTTATTATTGGGCTGTGGTGTAATTTGCTTCTCTTTAACATTTTGGTAAAAATCGAACATTTCCGCACTTTGGTGAATTTCAAGGTTTTTTTCATCGTGAAAAAATCAAAAAACACCTTTCTGCAAATTTTTCCATTTTAATCACGGAGACCCTGAAAAACAAAAATCAACATAAATACTATAGAAAAAAACACCCCCCCCCAAAATTAGCATTTTTTAAACCAAAAAAAAAAGTCAAGATTTCTTTTTTTTCATTAATGCATGCGGCTGTAGGGTTTTTTTAATGTGGTTTCCACTGCCCACACGACCTTTCTCTCACATTGGGGTACCAGCTTTCCTGCTTGTTTGAAGCCACTAGAATTATTGAGTATACATGGACCCTCACTAACGATATAATCCGTTCCTAAAACCCTCGTATCTGAAAAAAAGTTAGCTGAAATTTAATTTTTTCCCCTAAAAATAATAGAAATCAAATTAATTTGCGCAAGACACCCCAAAGAAAAAAAAAAAAAATTTTTTTTCATGAAAAATTAATTTTTAAAACACACAACTAACACTTTACCTTTTTAAAAAAATAAAAAAAGGCCAAAACCGTGACTGGAACGAAAAACAAATAACCCGCACATAAAAAAGAGAAGCTTACGACGACGTTTCGGTCCGACTGGACCATTTGACAAAGTCACACTAACAGAGGTGGAGCAGGACGGCTATATATAGGCAGGAAGAGGTGGAGGTAGTAGTAGTACTACTACTACCTCCACCTCTTCCTGCCTATATATAGCCGTCCTGCTCCACCTCTGTTAGTGTGACTTTGTCAATGGTCCAAGTCGGACCGAAACGTCGTCGTAAGCTTCTCTCTTTTATGTGCGGGTTATTTGTGTAACTTACCTTTATTGAAGATCTGGTGATGATTGATGGGATGGGAGGAGGGGAGAGTGTGGAAGTTGTTAATGTTTAGAAGGGGAATCCCCTTCCATTAGGACTTGAGGTATCGAGTCCTTATCCGGGGTTACTTCCGCCTTTTAATGCCACTAGGACCAGCTTGAGAGTCACTGGACCTCTGTCGCACAACATATCTGTCCGTAGAGGCCTTTATGATTTGTCTAAAGTGGTTCACAACATTGTCATTGTAATAGTCACCAGCACGGCTTGCAATAGCTGTGTGAGGGTGATTTTCATCCATAAAGGTTTGCACTTCAAGCCACTTTGCACACATTTCCTTAATCTCTTTCTTCATATCCATAGTAATTCTCACCCTTTTTTCTGCAGGGTTGGCACTAGAAGCTTTCTTGGGGCCCATGGCGACTTATTTTGCAGGTACAATCACTAAAAACGCTGTGATAATATGAAATGTTCCGATTGTATGTGTGGATGCGACTGCACTGGCTGGCTTGTAAACACTGGCACCCACGGGACAACTGAGGCACACTCAGGCCACACGTGGACGCATCTCGAACAAATCGCATAGGGCGAGTTTTTTAGCGTTAACCGAGGCAAAATTTTTGCGTTAAATTGTATCATATGATGGATTTAACATAAGGTGATGCCATCATTAGCTGAGGGTCCACTGTATATACGTCTGAAACACTGGCTCGTAAAACGTATATATACAACCAAAATAGTCAAAGGGTTAACCCTCTCAGGGTTTTCGATGTACAGTGGACCCCCGCCTTACGATGGCATCACGTTACGTTAAATCCGCCATACGATACATTTTAACGCAAAATTTTTGCTTCGTCTCACGCTAAAAATCTCGCCTTACATGATTCGTCCAGGACGCGTCCCACGTGTGGCCTCAGCGCCAGTGTTTACAAGCCAGCCAGTGCGGTCACATCTATGCATACATTCGGTACATTTCACATTATCCCAGTGTTTTTAGTGCTTGTAACTGCAAAATAAGTCACCATGGACCCCAAGAAAGCTTCTAGTGCCATCCCTGTGGTAAAAAGGGTGAGAATTAGTATGGAATTGAAAAAAGAGATTGGAAATGTGTGCAAAGCGGGTTGAACTGCAAACCTTCACGAATGAAAATCACCCTGACACAGCTACTGCAAGCTGTGTTGGCAACCTGTACAATGACAATGTTATGGCCCATTTTAGGAAAGTCTTAAAGGAACGGGGGGTACAGAGCTCTATGGACAGATTTGTTGTGTGACAGAGGTCCAGTGACTCTGGAGTTGGTCCTAGTGGCATTAAAAGAAGAAGGGAAGTAACCCCAGAAAAGGACTTGCTACCTCAAGTCCTAATGGAAGAGGATTAACCTTCTAAACAATAACTTCCACACTCTCCCCTCCTCCCATCCCATCAATCATCACCAGATCTTCAATAAAGGTGTCATTTATTCTATTCTTAGTAGAGTATTAACTGTGCATGTCTTCTTCAGTTTGTGTGTATTGAAATTAATATTTCATGTGGTAAAATTTTTTTTTTTTTCATACTTTGGGGTGTCAGGAACGGATTAATTTGATTTCCATTATTTCTTATGGGGAAAATTAATTCGTCTTACGATAATTTTGGCGTACAATGAGCTCTCAGGAACAAATTAATATCGTAAGGCGGGGGTCCACTGTACTAGTACGGCTTACGCACCAGGGTTATTGACATAATAGAAAGCCTAAATTCTAGCGCCTTCAAATCTAGCGAGAGAAAGCTGGTAGGCCTACATATTAAAGAATGGGTCTATGTGGTCAGTGTGCGCAGTATAAAAAAAATCCTGGAAATAAATGGTATAAAATACCGACACAATGGCAATATAAACACAAATGCAGTATAATGTGATCCTTTATTGACTACGTTTCGCCCACTGTGTGGGCGAAACGTAGTCAATAAAGGATCACATTATACTGCATTTGTGTTTATATTGCCATAAAAAAAATCCTGCAGCACACAGTGCGTAATGAGAGAAAAAAAAACTTTGACCGTGTTTTTGGATTAAAACAGCGACTTTGCACTATATTTTCCTATGGTATTTATGGTTGTATTCTAGTTTTCCTGGTCTCATTTTATGGAATGGAAGACATATTACAGAAATTGAGATGATTTTGATTGGTTTCACAATGAAAAGTATCTTGAAATTGAGCTCAAAGTAGCAGAAATGTTCAATTTTTACCAAAGTTCAAAAGTAAACAAATCATGCCAAGCATCCAATACACATCAACTGGTGAGTCTAATATTCTTTCACAGGTGCGCTGATATTATTTATACCATTTTTACACTAATGCAGTAGTCTGCATAATACTAAATCTTCTATTTTTTGTAAGAATGAAAATTCAAAGTGGAAAGCAATAGAAATATAAGAGGGGCCTGAGGACGTGACTAATGAACAGAGAACTTGTTATTTTAGTGCCAGGAATGTCTGTCTTGTTTATTCTGGACCCTATTTGGAAATTGGCATCTTCTGAAATTTGTGTGAAATTGGCAAAATTGCCAATTTCTAACCACTTTACTGGATAGTTGAAATTGGTAATTGGGTGGTTTCTTGTCCTCATTCGATAGAAAAAATGGAGTTCTAGCAAAATATATATGATTTTTGTTGACTAGTACACAGGAATTGGCCAAAAGTAGGGCTCAAATTGGGCGAAATCGCTGATGCGTAAACATCGGCGAGACAGCTAACTTCGTAAGTTTTCCATCAAATTTCATACTTTTAGTGCCATTATGATCGGGAAAAGATTCTCTATCATTTCATAAGGAAAAGCATTTTTTTTTTCCGAAAAATTTTCGACCCTGAGAACAAGCTTAGGAGAGGGCCTCTCGACCCTGAAAGGATTAAGGCTGTTAAATGCAAAAACCATCATACTGTACAGTTATTCACACCCCGTCAAAAAAAAAAAAAAAAAAAAAAAATAATTTTGTGTATTATGATTAATATCTTTATTATATACCCCATACCCATCCTTCATACACTATATTTTCCATATTTCTTTTTTTTCTTCCCGTATCTCATTCTCTGTTAAGGATGTTTGCAGGGTTCCAGCTCCTATGATTAGAAACTTACCATGAACATCACCTTGTAAGCAGGCAGGAAGACCATGGCTGTGGGTGAGGAAGTCTCTCCAAGAATTAAAAGACGACTCAGTGCTCAGGCCACATGGCTCTGAGGGTGCAATCCTCAGCTCACATTCCTGCAAGACACCCATGTATCTATTAGTCATCAAAGTAGCCATGTTTCTTTTTAGTTTTTGACACTTGCGCCAAAACATGCATTCCCACTTAACTATATAATGTTTTAACAATAACATAACCTTTGGACAATGCTGAAAAACTGATAAAAAAAATTCAATCATTTAACATGCTAGTGCTTTGCCCCCTTCCTCCAGTGACCCCAAAAAAACATAGAAACATTCATCATTCAACTGCTGTCTTGCCAAAAATATGCAGACAATTCTAATGACCTTCCAAACTACAAAATCCTCACCCCTCAGCACTCTTTAATATAAATAAAGTTTTTTATTTTTATCAATTACAGTGGTACCTTGAGTTATGAACTTAATTCATTCCAGAAGGCTGGTTGAGTGCCGTTACTAAACAAATTTGTTTCGATAAGGAATAATGTAAATTAGATTAGTCAGTTTCAGACCCCCAAAAACACACTTACAAAAGAACTTACAAAACTACACTTACATAATTGTTCAAGTTGAGAGAAGTTCAAAACTCAAAGTACTACTGCATTTATTTAAAGTGGACCTCCAAATTTCATGATTAATCCGTTCCAGAGAGTCTGCCAAGTCAAAATTCACGAATTTCAAAACCATTTACCCTAAAAGAAATAACGTAAATCCAATTAATCTGTTCCCGACACCCAAAAGTATTAACAAAAAACATTTTTTTTCTAAATTAAATATCGATTTACATACAGAAAAGAATGAGAAATCAAATATAAAACAATAACAGCATCAAGTAAGAAGGAGGTGAAAGTGTATAAACTAAGGGAGGAGGAAGTTCGGGTGAGATATAAGCGAAAAAATTGGCAAAAAAGGGTTTGGGTGGGTGAAAAGGGGGTTTGGGGGGGGGGGGGGTTAAAGGGGGTTTTGGAAATGTTTTAAAAAATGAGGGTATTAGAATGTGGGGCAAAGTTTGTGGTTATAGGGGGGGGGGGCAGGGGGGAAAGAGGAGGATTGGGGGGAATGATAAAAGAAAAGGGGTGGGGATAAAAGAAAAAAATTTGCTTTAAAGGGGTTTTTTTTACAAAGCAAAAGTGTTATAAGAAGACCCAGAGTATATGGGGTAAAAAAAAGGTAAAGAGAGTGGTAAGAGATTGCAAAAGGAGAAGCAGATAAAAGAGTGGGAGAGGCACTGTCAAAAATTTTTAAATTTGAAAATAAAAAAAATTTTTGGGGTGAGTTAAAAAATTTAAAAAAAAAAGGCCTGGGGAAAAAGGTTTTGATTTTTCAGTTAAAAAACAGAGTAGGGGGGGGTTAGTAGTTTTGGGGAGATTGAAGGTATTAGGTATTGGCGAGAATATTTTGGGGAAATTTTTTAAAATGTTAAGGAAAAAAAAGGAACAGTAATTTATGCCTGGTAGGGAGGTATCCCACATTTGGGAGTAAAGGAAAAAAAGCAGAATGTAAGTGTGGGGGAGGTTTAGGGGAGGCTTTTCATAGAAAAAAAGGGGGGGTAAAGCAGCTGGAATGATGAGATCAGGGACAAAAAATTTTTAAAAGAAGGGGGGGGGGGATTTAGTTTTGGGAAAGTGGTTGGAAATTTTTTGTTTAAAAAAATGAATGAAAGGGGGAAGGTCCTAGGGATTGGCGGGAGAGCATGTATAGCCCCTTTTATATAAAGGGAAAGGGGCCCAAAAGAGACTGAAAAAATTTTTAGAGGAAAAAGTTTACTGAGTTATACCAGGAAAAGTGTACGGTAGGGGTTATAACTGAAAAAAGTTTAGAGGTAAGCAGAATTTTGGTTGGGGAAATGAGCAGGATTTTCCCAGAGTGGGTGGGGGGATGTTTAGATAAAAGTGGTTTACATTGAAGATTTAGGGAAAAACCAGTATTTAGAAAAAGGGTTTGGGGAAAGTTTTTATTGCATTTTTGGTTTTAGAAAAGGCTTTATGATAAAAGTGGTTTGAGGAGCAATGTGGCAGAGTTGCAAGTATATGGTTTAAGGGGGTAATTTTTTAAAATGATGTAAAGGTTTTTATGGGGATAGTGGGGGCTAAAGGTTTTGGGGTTTTGGGAAAAGAGAGGGAGATTACTTCCCATTTAAAATAGGTCTTTGACAGGGTGTGAAAATGTACCATGGTTTTTTAATATATTTTTAGAGGGGGTTTTGAAAAGGGAAAAGAAAATTGCTAGGGTGTTCGGGGAGGGGTGGGTTTAAAATTTTTGGGGGGAATCAAATTCAAAAGGGGGAATTGAAAAAAGTTACTTTTTGTTTTTGATACTTTTGTTATGGGAGATTTTAAAGAAAAACTGAAAAGGTTTTGTGGATGATTTTGGGGGTTTGTGTTTTTTAAAATTAAAAAAAAAAGGTTTGGAAAGTAAAAATTAGAAAAGATTAAGGTGATGAGGGTATCAAATGATTTAGATAAAAAAAAATTTGGATATCAAATTGGGGAGGGGGTAGGAAGAAGTGAATTTTTTTCAGATATTGGGATTTGGGGACTTTTGTCGGGGGAAATTGGATTTATAAGGATGGGGTTTAAATTTCTTTAAAATTTGATGAGGGAAAAAAGGTGGGGGTGGTGCTTTGAGGTATATGTGGATTTCAAAAAAAGTTATTATGGGGGGAAAAGAAGGGAAGTATGAAAGTATTTTGTCCCCAACACTTTTTATGGGTGTGAAGCTTGGGGGGTTAAATGCGGGGCCAGCGAGGGGGACGGTTGGGGGGCATTGGAGATGCCCTTTTTAAAGGGGGCAATGTGTGGTGAAAATTTTTTTTGGCAAAAAATTCGGAGGTGGGAAATTGGGAAAAAGGTTTTTGTGGGTTAATAAAAAGTATTAGCCCAGAGGGCAGAAGAGGGGTTGTTGGGGGGTTTTTGATCTTTTTTTGAGGGGAAGGATCAAAGTAGATGACGGGGGAAAGCATTAAATCTACGGGGGAAAAGGAAGGGGGGTGGGGGTTTCGCCCTCAAAAAGGGTTGGGAGGGGGGGGGTAAAGGGGGGGTTTTGTGGGCAAGGGGCTTGGACTTCCAGCAAGCGTTTCCCTGAGCGTGTTAGTAGGAGTGAATGGAGGGCCCCAAAAGGTAATTGGGATGACGATCTGTTGGAGGGGTCAGCAGGGTTTTTATTTAGTGAAGGGGTTAAAGGGGGGGAAAAAAAGGTTTTTTTCATTTGTGGACTCGAGTCCTGGAAAAGGGAAGTACAGTGCCTGCACTTTTTAAGGAGGGGTTTGGGATTTTTGGCAGTTTGGGGGGGATTTGTTGTGTTTTCTTTATATGTGTATGCTTTTTAAAAATGTTGTATTCTGAGCACCTCTGCAAAAAAAGTGATAAGTGTGGTGTGGTTGGGAAAATGTTGAATTTATGAGAAAATATTTTCTTTTTGGGGATTTTTCTTTCTTTTTGGGGTTTACCCCGCCCTCGGTGGGAAAAACGGCCCCAAATTGTTGAAAAAAAAAAAAAACCCGCTTTACTCTTACCTTTTTGCCGGGCTTTGTTGGGGGGTATGGGTTTCGCCAAAAAAAGTGGGATACCTGGGGGCAGAAGCCTTGTCTAAGGGCAAGGTTTAAAAATTTTCACACATCTCAGGCATAAACAGGCCACCCAGGGTATCCCCGTCAAAACAGAAAGCGGCCCCCCAAAACCCGTATTTGTTACTTCAATGGGTTTGGGGAAAAAGAGGGTTAGCCAAAAAAACCTGTTAGGGAAAATATAATTTTAAATTTTTTCAAAAAAACTTTTTTCAACTCTAGATAACCTAATTTCCCAAACGCCCCCCCCACTGGGGAAACAAAAAAAACAGCTTTGGGTTGGGGAGTTCCCCCGTAACCAGGCCCACCCTCTACTCCAAAACCCAACCCCCTTTCTTATTTTTCAATCAAAGCCACCGGGCCCCCCGACCCTGTCAGAGCCCAAATTGGGCATAAAAGGTAAGCCATAAAAAGAGCCTATGGCTTTGGGGTTTGCTAAACCAAAAAAAAGTACACAACTACAAAAATTTTTTCAATACCAGCATCTCGGGCACCAGCCCCCCACACCCTTTCTGGGTCCACGTTTACTGCCCCAACACCGTTTTCCCCGCATACCCCAAAAACAGTTGGAAAATTTAAAACTCTTTGCGGATTTCTTTTAATTTTAGGTTTTAAACCCATTTTTAAAATTACCCCCAAAAAACACATTATGAATTTTTAAAAAAATTTTGGCCTTTTCAATTATAAAAATTCTACTATTTTGACACCCTTCTCTATGTTTTTTACCCTTACAAAGTTATGCAGAACCCTGGGTAACGTGTATGAAAGATGGGGGGGAAAGGGGAAAAAGTTTGGGGAAGTTCATATTGTTTGGAAGGGGGAAACCCCTTCCCTAAAGGGCTTTAGGTACCCAAATTTTTTTCTGGGGTTTTCTTTTCCCTTTTTTTTTTTTTAAAAAGCCATTAGGAAAAGCCTGGGGAGTCACTGAAAACCCCCGTGCTCTAAAAAATAGTTCCAGAGAGTCCCTTTCTGGTTTTTTAAAGGTTTTGCCTAAAATGGGACGAGGTATTTTCATTTAACATGGGAGCAGAATTTCCGGGAACAGTTTTTTTAGGGTGATGTTCCTCAAAAAAATGTTTGCCCCCTCACTCCCCTTTGAAAAAGTGGGCCCTTTAAACTTTGAAGAAGGGGAAATTCTTCCCTCTCTCTTCCTCCTCCAGTGAAGCAATTTCCTCACTGTGCTCTGTTGCTGTTGCAGCTCTTCAAGGGGTTAGCTCCTCAATGTGGACCTTCACCAACTCTTCCACATCCTGGCCACTCACATCCAACCCCATGGACACACCCAAAGCCACAATAGATTCCACAACAGGCATAGGGTTGTCAGGTGTGTGTGGGGAAGTACCCAGGTTGGTGTGTAGAGAAGTGTCCTGGCTGGTGTGTAGGGAAGTGTCCTGGGTGGTGTGTGTGGGGAAGTGCCCTGGCTGGTGTGTGTGGGGAAGTACCCTGGCTGGTGTGTCTGTGTGGGGAGTACTTTGGCTGGTTTGTGTGGGGGAGTACTCTGGCTGGTGTGTTCTTTCTTGAATTCTATCGTTTTTCTCGCCTTTTTACCAAAGGGCTGACACTAGGAGCTTTCTTTGGGCCCATGGTAGCTTATTTAGCAGTTGCAAGCACAAAAAGAATGGATTATTATGAAATGTATCGTATGAATGCATGGGGTGATGGTCACTCACCGAGAAACAATGCCACACTGGCTCTGAATGGTGTGTGGGAGCCTTTGCATGTGCATGGCCACTGGGAGGCCGCTCAGACGCATTCTGTATGACCGCCGAATTTTGAGGCTATATTTTGACGAAAAAAGGTGCTGATAATCGAAATTCACGAAACTTGAGACTCATGAAATTCGGGGGTCTACTGTACTTTCATTTTTGTTATGTGATAAAGCTAAAGGGAGCATACATACCATTTGTGACTACAATGAAAGATACAAAAACAAAAGTACTATCTGACTTTTGTTAGATTATATAACTGTATGCATATTCAGTACTCTAATAATACTGTGCTTTACATAGCCAATATAAAAATTAAAACACAAATTTGTCAAAAACCCATGTACATTTAGCCTGAATATACTAATAGTCAGTCTTCAGTATTTCAGTATTTCTCAGTAGTCCTCGCTCTTCTCTTACCTTTGGCCTCCCTCACCTGCTTGAGGGCGCAGACCTGATGGGCATGGATAGCGAGATCTGGTGTTGGCACAGATGGAGGTTGTCTGGTTAAGTGGAGTGTGTAGGTGTTGAGGGTCCAGGGCTCTGAGTGGCCAATGTCCACCGCTGCCAGGACAAGACAGTTCTCACCCAACCTTAGTGTGTAGTTCACAAGTCTGCTGAACACCTCTCATTTATATTATTATTATTAACAAATAGTACATTGTTTTTTAACACCAGTTGTATACTCCAGGTCTCCCACTGAGGCAGCGTGACTGGAAAAAGAAGAAAACCTTATAAAGCTTTTCTTATTTTTACATTTAGTAATTTATACAGAAGAGGTTGCTAGCAACTTCCTCTCAAAAATATTAAAAACAAAGAAGGCCTCTAGCATGCCTAGGTATTTCAGGCAGACTAATCCTAATTCTTACTCTAGATTGACCAAGATTATAGAGCAGTATATTTTAATATTCATTATTGCATACTGTTATAAAAGTTAGGTAACTGAGGTGATTAATTAGATTTATAATAATGTGGTAGTACAAAACATACGACAATGTTACATTCAGTAAATTCAGTAATGATTACAGTGGAACCTCAGTTTTCGTGATTAATCCTTTCCAGAAGGTCTGACGAAAACCAAATCGAACAAAAACTAAAGCAATATTTCCCATAAGAAATAATGTAAATCCAATTAATCTGTTCAGACACCCTAAAATATCAACAAAAAATACATTTTAGAGAGAATAACTATAGTTTCACACACAGAAAACAATGACAAATAAATATAAAAGACTAATGAAATGGATAAATGAACATTTAACATCACTTTTAGCTTTATTGAAGACTCTTGTTGACATATGGAAGACAGCAAGGAGGGGAGAGGGAGGAGAGGTTATTGTTTAGAAGGGGAATCCTCCTCCATCAGGACTTCAGGTATCAAAGCCCTGATCAACCGATCGTTGATGAGGGCTTCCTGTACATTCTGGCAAGCTCAGCCACACGTAAGCCACTTTCATACTTTGCTACAATTTATTTCTTGTGTTTCTCGTGTTTCTTGCCTTCCTTATCAAAAGGCTGGCACTAGGAATTTTCTTTGGCCCCATGGTGGCTTATTTAGCAGTCGCACTCAATAAACAAGCACAAAAAACAATGGATTATTTAGAAATGTTTCGGATGAACGCTCGGAGTAATGCTCACTGAATGAGTAGCAAAGGCAGACTGAGCCACGAACGTACGAGTGGCCACATCCAGCGGGCAGGCAGATGCATCTGGCACAGAGAAAAACCAAGTGGATGAATGAAAACTAAGACAAAATTTTGCCAAAAAGAGTCATCGAAAATCAAATTTCACAAAAACTGGGGCAAACGAAAACCAAGGTTTCACTGTAATTAGACTTATAATAACGAAGTAGTACAAAACATATGACAATGTTACAATCAGTAAATTTAGTAATGGGAATGGTTAAGTCTTGGCATGATGCACTGTTTCTATTAAAGCTCCTATACTGGGAGAGTATCTTAGGCAAACTTAGGGAGAACTTAAGCTTTATTAGCCAATAGCAATATGTATTAGGAATTTTATGTTTACAGTCATTTAGGCAAGTTTAAGTGTAAATTAGGGAGAATTACAGATAATGAGAATAAATCTACAGAGTGTCCCATAAGTCTGGACCCATGCCTCCACAAATTGTGGAGGCATCTCAGGAAATTTCTGTGACCGTGATTCAGAGAGTGCTGTTGCAGTGGAGATCTTCAATTATGTGTGCGACACAATGGTGGACACTTTTGTAGTGATACTGGTCCTGTGGGGAGCAGCAGCAGGATAATACTGCACCACCTCTAGGGGCCCTTAACAACAACAACAGTTTGGTGTGTGTCATGGGCACCAACACATGGTGTGTGATTCTCTCCTACTTTATCCATTTATCAGCGATGCAGATTACATGGTGAGTTTAAATATGTGGCCTGTAGTTATAACTTTTCTCTTGACATATGCAAGACATCACCATCCCTGTAGAAGCTATTATTAGATGTACTAGTCATTATATTTTGTTGTTGCAGAAGTACTATGAAGATTCTATGTTCAATAAAGCCTAGAGATAAGGCCTGTGTTTCTATCACAACAATTTATTGAACATAGAATCCTGGGCTACCTGGTGGTGATCCTGCGCTAGACTACATCACAACATGGAGCGTTTTCTGAAA